AGGATTGTGGAGTTTTGAGGCAGTGAAGAAAGTGGAGGAGGATGGGTCAAGGACGAGGGATCCTGAAAGGATCCCAGTGAGTAGTAGATTTGTGCCAGCACAGAGGGATAGGGCAACACATGAGTTACGCTTCAGTAAGGTTGGATTCTTAGCGTTCATAGCAACGGTTATCAACTGTACCGCAGAAATGGAACGTAAATCACAGAGAATAGATGTTGTGGTGGCAGCTGCAGAGATGTATTCGGGTAAACAAGATTTAACTTCAGAAGAGTCCCCTGTAGCTCAGTTGGTAGAGCATGGCGCTTGCAACGCCAGGGTTGTGGGTTCGTTTTCCCACGAGGGGCCAGTATAAAAATGTGTGCACTCACTAACTGTAAGTCGTCTCTGGATAAGAGCGTCTGCTAAATGACTAAAATGTAAAATGTACGCGTTACAGGGTGTGTTGAGGGGTGGCGTCCCGTCCTCCCAGGCCGATGGCGTCCCGTCCTCCCAGGCCGATGGCGTCCCGTCCTCCCAGGCCGATGGCAGGGTGCAGAAGCAGATAGGATCAAAGTAGTGGAATGGGGTAGTGGGTTTTCAATGAGTGTAGGTGGTGGTGTCTAGGGCTTTATTACCATTTCTTAGAGGAACAGGAATAATGAAGATCATTTAATGTAGGTCGGCTGTGACTGGCCTCACACTCCAGTACAGTAGGTGGCGGTGTATGCACCTAAAAGTTGGATGCAACCAAATCCATAAAATGAGGACGAAGAAGAAGAAGGAAGCAGCTGTTGTTTCTCTGTGTCACTTTTTCGCCATGGCAGCTACCCACTGGGAAGACTCCGTCAAAAGTCTGAAAGGTGTGATTTTAGACATGTGCGGCGTGTTATATGATGCTGGGGAAGACGGCGGCTCTCCAATTCCAGGCTCCGTAGAAGCAGTGGGAAGGTAAGGCTAGGTAGACTACTATGTAGACGTCGACCTATGCCCGGTGGCATTCAGAGGACGGACGCTGTTTCGGGTCGGTGGGTCCGGGTGGAAACATATTGAACGGGCAAATCTAGGGCCGATCGGCAGCCAGCAGTGAAGCGGCCGTGTGGTTGTTCTGGTTCTGGGATCGAGCACACCTGCTCCTTGCCAACTCTGAGCTTTCACTATTTTTTTCGGCGTGGCCGACACCAGTTGGAAAGATTGCATCCGAAGTCTTTAGACGTGCGGCGTTTTATATGACAGTGGTGAAGGAGGTGGTTATCCAATTCCAGGCTCCGTAGGTAGGAGAAGTGAGAAGATGAGATTTATACATCGGAACGACGGGGTGCGACGATTAGCCTTTTAGATTCATTCATATTGAAATGTAGCAGCAGAACACATGATACACTGCAGAAATAGGAAACTCTTTTAACAGCGCTACGACAGCTATAGTACACTTCTATTACATGTGTAAAGTTTAAGTTCTGAATGTTGTTAACCTTCGAATGGGTAGTCTCAGGTGAGTCTGGTTTTGTTGTCAGTCTGCTGTGTAACCTAATGTCAAACATGATAAGGGGGGAGTGGCAAGATTGCTTCAGAGCTGTCACTCACTGCAGCACTGAATACATTATTTCTACAATCCAATAAAATGCAAATAAATGCAATGTGTAATGGTGCAGATCAGTTGAATGTCCTTTCGGACTACACATGTAGAGATTCATTGCAGCCTAATGATTGGATTGGTTTTTATTTCTCTACTGGAGTTGTTTTTGGTTCAGAATGAAGTCATCTCTAGAGAATGTGGTTTCACTGCATCTGTTCTGCAGTCTACCAAGGTTGTAATGTCAAACCTATTAGAAAAGTATCTGTTCTGCAGCAGTGGCGGCTCCTGAAAAAATTCTCAGGAGGGGCAATTTTTCTGATGATTTAGGTGACCTACACACATTTAAAAAAAAGATATGTCCAGCAACAACATGAAGACAGGGGCAGCATATAAGTCAATACCAGAAGCATTTATTGACTGATCTCAAAAGTGTTGGCTTACCAGGGTTGGTGGAGCCCTCAGTTTCATCTTTGCCTCGCAAAGCTAACTCAAACACTCCGCAAAACTTCACACACTGGATTAGCCGGCTGAGGATGTGGCGGTTCTTGCTAATGTCGTAGTAAATATATTTGTTATAGTGAATATGGAATATGATATGTTGAGTAAAATGTTGTGCTAAGATCTATTTAGGTCAGGAGCTGGTTATAAGTTCTGTTCCTATCCAATAACAATGGACAAAAGGGTCCTATCTTGTCAGCCTTGTCAGCAGGTGGCCAAGGACAACACCCACGCCATAGGCCTCTCAGTTCTTCCAACTCACGAGTTCTTGCTCTGAGGACACACACACACACAAACACACACACACACACATCATCACTGTTAAACACACACACACACACACACATCATCACTGTTAAACACACACACACACACACACAAAAATCCCCTCTCTTAGGCTGAACATTTGAAGACAGAGAACCCGACTCAGAGCCAATGCAACAGTGACAGTAGCCTGGAGGTGACCTCGCCCAACTCATCAGGACCAATCAGAAGATCAGAACTACTAGATTGAACCTACTTCATTTATTGCATAAAATGTCTGCACACAATGTTTCGGGGCTCTCTTCAGATAATAATAATAATAATAATAATATGCCATTTAGCAGACGCTTTTATCCAAAGCGACTTACAGTCATGCGTGCATACATTTTTGTGTATGGGTGGTCCCGGGGATCGAACCCACTACCTTGGCGTTACAAGCACCATGCTCTACCAGCTGAGCTACAGAAAGTGGATACTCATGGATGCGCATTGCAATTGTAAAATGTCAACACAATTGGAGACACCACGTCATTTTTGGAGACATGTTATTGACAGTAAACTATTGTAGATGCGACTGCTAACTAAATAAAACATTTTAGCTGGCTAGCTAATCATCTTAGCTAAATGTGGGGCAAACAATTCAGTTATTTACCGTTAATTTGAGGGATTGGGGTGAAAGAAATCGAGTTACATAGTGATACTTTACGATATACTGTATTGACAATATCGCAATATTTTAGCGCTAGTTGGCTGTACCTGCACCAAAACACCATTATTGTTCCTTCATAGCTTGTTCTCAATCTTTTCACATTGGGAGCCAATTAGTTTTCAGCACTTTTATTTCCATGACTGATCAAAACTCGTTCTCATGGCTTTCTGATCCCTCTGCAACAGACATATGGTGCGCAATAAAATCACAGTATCGAATCGCAATACGTATAGAATCATGAGACTCGCAATGCTGATGCATATATCTTATCGTGAGGTTCCTGGCAATTCCCAGGCCAAGTTCATTTGCCACAACAAATCTCTTCGCTAGCAAACGCGATGTCTTCTCCAAAACGGCAATGTGTCTCCAGCAATGTTTACTTTTTTGACGTTCTATGGCATCTCCACTTTCCAAGCATATATGACCACATGTAATATTTTGGTAAGTGATGCAAATAGTGAACTATGTAGGGCCAGGATGTAAAATATATGTAGCTGCAGCAATTTCTCTTATCTGATATGGTAAGTAATGGGGCTTAATTTATTGCTCCCTAAGAGTTTGACGAACGGGTCCGTGAACGCGATTCCAGATATATTTACCTCTGAATAAACTGCCTTTATTACACCATATCCACATCCAGTAAACTTGTGATTATCAACACTAACCTCATCGTTGTGGCGGCGGACAGCTAGCCTGTATCCCTCGTCATCCAGTTGAGTGAGTCGCAATGTCTTTTTTCGTTCGTACCAATTTTTGGAAAATCCTCGGGTGTAGGACTTTCCGCCTTTAGTAGAAACCTGTTGAATTATTAAATTTGGTCTGGGAGGTCCTAATTGTTTCGTTGCCAATTTATCTTAATTTGTTCGCCGACAAAAAGGAACTTCTTTCAAAGACACAATCGAGTTGGACTGAAGCCTAGCCATTTTGATAGTAGTAGTGAATTGATTGAGGCTGCTACCTGGTCTTTTCTTAGTTACGTTCATTCGTGGTTACGTTATGTATGACGAAAGCGCGTAAGTGCAAGCCCACAGACACCCATAGAGAATGTATTGAAAGCTTTGAAATGTGAAAAAAATAGATTTTACATGACAGGCTATGAGAGACTTCTGGGCGATTTTCAACCTGACTGAAATCGCCCAAAAAACGGGCGGGGCCATTTGAAGCACGACTTTAGCCTGATTTGACATTTAGTGGCTGTCAGATCAGACGTGAACACTGATAACTGCTGTTGCCGTGATATAATTTTTTATAAATTTATAAAAAATATATATATATATTTTTTTTTTTTTTTTATTTTTATAATTGATTAGAAAAAAAATCCCTTCCTTTTCCCGTTTGGCAGTGCGTCGCCCATATCGCCCTATTGAACAAGCCGTCCCTGTTCTGCAGTCTACCAAGGTTGTAATGTCAAACCTATTAGAAAAGTATCTGTTCTGCAGTCTACCAAGGTTGTAATGTCAAACCTATTAGAAAAGTATCTGTTCTGCAGTCTACCAAGGTTGTAATGTCAAACCTATTAGAAAAGTAAACTCCCACACCTGGACTTACTACCAGCAGGAGAAAAAAAGTATCCTTGATAAAAAGGAAGAAAGAACTAGAACCCACTGGTAATCAAAGCTCGTCACCCGGGCTAACTTTGCCTAGCGCATATAAGGAAGTGTCTGGTTAATGAGATTATCAAAATATCTTGATTAAATCTCATAGCGCAAAAAAAATGAATTTACACTCGACTAGTCTTTTCTTACAAGCACTGACTTTGCTGATAACTACTCTGAGGAACATGTTCTGACTATGACTGAGATGTGGTTGTTTCACATAGCTAATTTAACATGAATGCACTTACTGTAAGTCGCTCTGGATAACAACGTCTGCTAAATGACCAAAATGCTGAATGTAAAAATGATTATGTCAATACGTTTCCCATAAAGGCTAAAGGCGTCGGACCTGCAGCTGCGTTTCTGTACCAACGAGACCCAGGCCACACGGGAGGAGTTTGTTGCCAAGCTGCAGAGGATGGGCTTTGATATCTCTGTGTCTGAGGTGTTCTCCCCAGCCCCGGCTGCCGTGGCTGTCCTGAAGGAGAGGGGTCTACGACCTCACCTGCTGGTCTATGATGGTATTGATTAATCATGTTAATTAGGTTTATTGTACTTTAAAGAGGAAATCTTTCCACAGCTCGCACGTTCCATACACACACACACCTACTCTTACCCAGCCTGGCTCAAAGTAACCCTGTCATTTGTTCTTCATGATTCTACCTCCTTGTGTGACTTTGTGAAGGCTATCGGGATGGGAACCCCTCAGTCAGGAACAGGAGTAAACTGGCACACGTAGTCAGGACAGATCTAGTCGGCAGCAAACAGCCACAACTTTACACACAGAACCTCACAAGAACTTTACACACAGAACCTCACAAGAACTTTACACACAGAACCTCACAAGAACTTTACACACAGAACCTCACAATAACTTTACACACAGAACCTCACAAGAATTTTACACACAGAACCTCTCAAGAACTTTACACACAGAACCTCACAAGAACTTTACACACAGAACCTCACAATAACTTTACACACAGAACCTCACAATAACTTTACACACAGAACCTCACAAGAATTTTACACACAGAACCTCTCAAGAACTTTACACACAGAACCTCTCAAGAACTTTACACACAGAACCTCACAATAACTTTACACACAGAACCTCTCAAGAACTTTACACACAGAACCTCTCAAGAACTTTACACACAGAACCTCACAAGAGCTTTACACACAGAACCTCACAAGAACTTTACACACAGAACCTCACAAGAACTTTACACACAGAACCTCACAAGAACTTTACACACAGAACCTCACAATAACTTTACACACAGAACCTCACAAGAATTTTACACACAGAACCTCTCAAGAACTTTACACACAGAACCTCTCAAGAACTTTACACACAGAACCTCTCAAGAACTTTACACACAGAACCTCACAAGAGCTTTACACACAGAACCTCACAATAACTTTACACACAGAACCTCACAAGAGCTTTACACACAGAACCTCTCAAGAACTTTACACACAGAACGTCACAATAACTTTACACACCGAACCTCTCAAGAACTTTACACACAGAACCTCACAATAACTTTACACACAGAACCTCACAATAACTTTATACACAGAACCTCACAATAACTTTACACACAGAACCTCACAATAACTTTATACACAGAACCTCACAAGAACTTTATACACAGAACCTCACAATAACTTTACACACAGAACCTCACAATAACTTTACACACAGAACCTCACAAGAGCTGCTTTACACACAGAACCTCACAAGAACTTTACACACAGAACCTCTCAAGAACTTTACACACAGAGCCTCTCAAGAACTTTATACACAGAACCTCACAAGAGCTTTACACACAGAACCTCTCAAGAACTTTACACACAGAGCCTCTCAAGAACTTTACACACAGAACCTCACAAGGAAAGCAGCCCAGGTCTTGTGTATAACTGCCTTCATGTTGTTGGACCCCAGGAAGAGTAGCTGCTACCTTGACAGGAACTAATGGGGATCCATAATAAACCCCAGGAAGAGTAGCTGCTGCCTTGGCAGGAACTAATGGGGATCCATAATAAACCCCAGGAAGAGTAGCTGCTGCCTTGGCAGGAACTAATGGGGATCCATAATAAACCCCAGGAAGAGTAGCTGCTGCCTTGGCAGGAACTAATGGGGATCCATAATAAACCCCAGGAAGAGTAGCTGCTGCCTTGGCAGGAACTAATGGGGATCCATAATAAACCCCAGGAAGAGTAGCTGCTGCCTTGGCAGGAACTAATGGGGATCCATAATAAACCCCAGGAAGAGTAGCTGCTACCTTGGCAGGAACTAATGGGGATCCATAATAAACCCCAGGAAGAGTAGCTGCTGCCTTGGCAGGAACTAATGGGGATCCTTAATAAACCCCAGGAAGAGTAGCTGCTGCCTTGGCAGGAACTAATGGGGATCCATAATAAACCCCAGGAAGAGTAGCTGCTGCCTTGGCAGGAACTAATGGAGATCCATAATAAACCACAGGAAGAGTAGCTGCTGCCTTGGCAGGAACTAATGGGGATCCATAATAAACCCCAGGAAGAGTAACTGCTGCCTTGGCAGGAACTAATGGGGATCCATAATAAACCCCAGGAAGAGTAGCTGCTGCCTTGGCAGGAACTAATGGGGATCCATAATAAACCCCAGGAAGAGTAGCTGCTGCCTTGGCAGGAACTAATGGGGATCCATAATAAACCCCAGGAAGAGTAGCTGCTGCCTTGGCAGGAACTAATGGGGATCCATAATAAACCCCAGGAAGAGTAGCTGCTGCCTTGGCAGGAACTAATGGGGATCCATAATAAACCCCAGGAAGAGTAGCTGCTGCCTTGGCAGGAACTAATGGGGATCCATAATAAACCCCAGGAAGAGTAGCTGCTGCCTTGGCAGGAACTAATGGGGATCCATAATAAACCCCAGGAAGAGTAGCTGCTGGCTTGGCAGGAACTAAATGGGGATCCATAATAAACCCCAGGAAGAGTAGCTGCTGCCTTGGCAAATAAATACACATACAAATGGTCACATCCACCAACTGCATCCTTCCATGTGCTGCCGTCTGGTCGGAGACTAGGGTTGCATCCTTCCATATGCTGCCGTCTGGTCGGAGACTAGGGTTGCATCCTTCCATATGCTGCCGTTGGTCGGAGACTAGGTTGCATCCTTCCAATGCCTGCCGTCTGGTCGGAACTAGGGTTGCATCCTTCCATATGCTGCCGTTCTGGTCGGAGACTAGGGTTGCATCCTCCATATGCTGCCGTCTGGTCGGAGGACTAGGGTTGCATCCTTCCATATGCTGCCGTCTGGTCGGAGACTAGGGTTGCATCCTTCCATATGCTGCCGTCTGGTCGGAGACTAGGGTTTGCATCCATTCCATATGCGGCCCGGTCTGGTCGGAGACTAGGGTTGCAACCTTCCCAATATTATATGGCTGCCGTCTGGGTCGGAGAGAGACTAGGGTTGCATCCTTCCATATGCTGCCGTCTGGTCCGGAGACCTAGGGTTGCATCCTTCCCATATGCTGCCGTCTGGTCGGAAGACTAGGGTTGCATCCTTCCATATGCTTCCGTCTGGTCGGAGACTAGGGTTTGCATCCTTCCATATGCTGCCGTCTGGTCGGGAGACTAGGGTTGCATCATTCCATATGCTGCCGCGTCGGGTCGGATACTAGGGTTGCATCCTTCCAATATGCGTGGCCGTTCTGGTCGGAGACTAGGGTTGCATCCTTCCATATGCTGCCGTCTGGTCGGGAGACGAGGGTTTGCATCCTTTCCATATGCTGCCGGTATGGTCGGTAGACTAGGGATTGCATCCATTCCATATTCCTGCCGTCTGGTTCGGAGACTGAGGGTGTGCATCCTCACATATGGCTGCCGTCTGGTCGGAGACTAGGGTTGCATCCTTCCATATGCTGCCGTCTGGTCGGAGACTAGGGTTGCATCCTTCCATGTGCTGCCGTCTGGTCGGAGACTAGGGTTGCATCCTTCCATATGCTGCCGTCTGGTCGGAGACTAGGGTTGCATCCTTCCATATGCTGCCGTCTGGTCGGAGACTACGGTTGCATCCTTCCATATGCTGCCGTCTGGTCGGAGACTAGGTTTGAATGGTGGGAACCCGGTTTACCGGGATTTACCGTCCAAAACCACTCCCTTTTCCCGTGATAAATAACTGCGAGAAACCGGTAAATTATAATAAATGATTTATATGAACAGCATGGCGTAACAATGGAACTGTTAAATGATATACAATGTCTAAATCTGTCTTCTCTATGGCCTCTGCATGATGAATCATCAACGCTCAGGGTGGGGACAGACAGCCCATCTCAGTATGGAGAGCAGTTCACAATGCATGTAGACCTATCATCTCACCATGGTAACAATGCATTTGACCTATCATCTCATCATGGTAACAATGCATGTAGACCTATCATCTCACCAGGGTAACAATGCATGTAGACCTATCATCTCACCATGGTAACAATGCATGTAGACCTATCATCTCACCATGGTAACAATGCATGTAGACCTATCATCTCACCATGGTAACAATGCATGTAGACCTATCATCTCACCATGGTAACAATGCATGTAGCCCTATCATCTCACCATGGTAACAATGCATGTAGACGTATCATCTCATCATGGTAACAATGCATGTAGACCTATCATCTCATCATGGCAACAATGCATGTAGACCTATCATCTCACCATGGCAACAATGCATGTAGACCTATCATCTCATCATGGAAACAATGCATGTAGACCTATCATCTCACCATGGTAACAATGCATGTAGACCTATCATCTCACCATGGTAACAATGCATGTAGACCTATCATCTCATCATGGTAACAATGCATGTAGACCTATCATCTCATCATGGTAACAATGCATGTAGACCTATCATCTCATCATGGTAACAATGCATGTAGACCTATCATCTCATCATGGTAACAATGCATGTAGCCCTATCATCTCACCATGGTAACAATGCATGTAGACCTATCATCTCACCATGGTAACAATGCATGTAGACCTATCATCTCATCATGGTAACAATGCATGTAGCCCTATCATCTCACCATGGTAACAATGCATGTAGACCTATCATCTCACCATGGTAACAATGCATGTAGACCTATCATCTCATCATGGTAACAATGCATGTAGACCTATCATCTCATCAGGGCAACAATGCATGTAGACCTATCATCTCACCATGGTAACAATGCATGTAGACCTATCATCTCACCATGGTAACAATGCATTTGACCTATCATCTCATCATGGTAACAATGCATGTAGACCTATCATCTCACCAGGGTAACAATGCATGTAGACCTATCATCTCACCATGGTAACAATGCATGTAGACCTATCATCTCACCATGGTAACAATGCATGTAGACCTATCATCTCACCATGGTAACAATGCATGTAGACCTATCATCTCACCATGGTAACAATGCATGTAGCCCTATCATCTCACCATGGTAACAATGCATGTAGACCTATCATCTCATCATGGTAACAATGCATGTAGACCTATCATCTCATCATGGCAATAATGCATGTAGACCTATCATCTCACCATGGCAACAATGCATGTAGACCTATCATCTCATCATGGAAACAATGCATGTAGACCTATCATCTCACCATGGTAACAATGCATGTAGACCTATCATCTCATCATGGTAACAATGCATGTAGACCTATCATCTCATCATGGTAACAATGCATGTAGACCTATCATCTCATCATGGTAACAATGCATGTAGCCCTATCATCTCACCATGGTAACAATGCATGTAGACCTATCATCTCACCATGGTAACAATGCATGTAGACCTATCATCTCATCATGGTAACAATGCATGTAGACCTATCATCTCATCAGGGCAACAATGCATGTAGACCTATCATCTCACCATGGTAACAATGCATGTAGACCTATCATCTCACCATGGTAAAAATGCATTTGACCTATCATCTCATCATGGTAACAATGCATGTAGACCTATCATCTCACCAGGGTAACAATGCATGTAGACCTATCATCTCACCATGGTAACAATGCATGTAGACCTATCATCTCACCAGGGTAACAATGCATATAGACCTATCATCTCATCATGGTAACAATGCATGTAGACCTATCATCTCATCATGGTAACAATGCATGTAGACCTATCATCTCATCATGGTAACAATGCATGTAGACCTATCATCTCATCATGGTAACAATGCATGTAGACCTATCATCTCATCATGGTCACTTTGTTTCTTGTGACAGGTAGGCCTGCATTTGCTGCAGCGTGGTCTATTCTACAGTAATATAAAGACAGACTGTGCCTTTAATGTACACATCTCCATCTGGCTTTCGGGGGGTCACCTTATCTTTTAATTGTACATTTAATGTATAGCTCAGGTAGCATCATTCTTGAATTTTCAATTCAAATCCAGACATAGGCTTTATGTATATACTTCATAATTATTTTGAAAGACACTTCCGGTTGGAAATACCGGGTTACCCCGGAGAAAAGGGATTTACTCTCGGGATGGAACATTTAGTAAAATACCGGGAAAATGTTCAACCCTATTGGAGACTAAAGTTACGGCTCGCATGGAAGAATGGACTGAATACATCCGCTTTGTCCTCTGTAGTGACAATCCTAAAGAAGATGCTGAACTTGACTCAATGTCTGTGTTTTTATGTCTGTTTTTATCCTTTTAATGTAAGCCAGAGCGCCCAAGACCATCTTCCGTTCTGTGTTACTTTAATGGACAATAACGTTTTTAGAATTTTGTCTAATATTTTCTATGCAAAGTGATAGTGCATATTGTGTTTTGTTTGGTTCGTTGTAGGTGTTGTCCCTGAGTTTGACAGTGTTGAGAAGGCCAACCCAAACTGTGTTGTCATAGGAGATGCAGCAGAGAAGTTCTCCTACCAGAACCTCAACGATGCCTTCAGAGTTCTCATGGGGCTGGAGAAACCAGTGCTGTTCTCTCTGGGCAGAGGGTATGCGCTCTCTCTCTCTCTCTCTCTCTCTTTCTCATTCTTAGTCCTCTCTCGGTCTCTATCTTATCTCTCTCTCTCTCCTCTCTCTCTTCTCTCGGTCTCTCTCTCCTCTCTCTCTCTCTCTCTCTCTTCTCTCTCTCTCTCTCCACTCTCTCCTCTCTCTCTCTCTCCTCTTCTCTCTCTCTCTCTCTCCTCTCTCTCTCTCTCTCTCTCTCCTCTCTCTCCTCTCTTCTCTCTCCTCTCTCTCTCATCCTCTCTCTCTCTCTCCGGCTTCTCTCCTCTATTTCATGCTAGTATCATAACCAGTAATATAAGGGTGATTTATTCAGAATATATTCTCATTTCCACACCCTGTGGTCCACTGTGTGATCTTATAGGAAGTACTACAAAGAGGATGACGGCCTGAAACTGGATGTTGGGGTTTACATGAAGGCGCTGGAGGTGAGAGCTATTATGTTACACACAGAGTAGGAGAGTTGGAAGTCAAAGCACTTTGATATCGCCCCCCCAGACCTTTGTGGGAACTTGTAGTCATCTCTGTTGTTTTGTTGATCTGTCTTCGTGTTTCACTCCTTAGTATGCCTGTGATATAGAAGCTGAGGTCATTGGGAAGCCAGACCCCATGTTCTTTCAGAAAGTTCTAGATGACATGGGGATTCAGTCACACCAGGTAGGTTTTTTTTTTAAAAGCCAAGCACGTACACTACCGGTCAAAAGTTTGGACACACCTACTCATTCAAGGGTTTTTCTTTATTTTTACTATTTTCTACATTGTAGAATAGTAGTGAAGACATCAAAACTATGAAATAACACATATGGAATCATGTAGTAACCAAAAAAAAAGTGGTAAACAAATCAAAATGTATTTTATATTTGAGATTCTTCAAATAGCCACCCTTTGTCTTGATGACAGCTTTGCACACTCTTGGCATTCTCTCAACCAGCTTCACCTGGAATGATGATTCTCTCAACCATTCTGAGCCATCCTCTTTGTCTGTGTCTGTCTGTCTGTCTGTCTGTCTGTCTGTCAGACTCTGATGATTGGTGATGATCTGGTGAATGATGTGGGCGGGGCCCAACACTGTGGAATGAAGGGTGTCCAAGTGAGGACAGGAAAATACAGGTAGGTGTTTGTGTATGTTGACATCTGTATGTTTGGCTTCACGTAACTGAAATTCATGCAGGCAGAAACCACCCACCCCATCAACGACCACAAGAGGGCGGTCTAACACCACAATAACTGCACAAAGCTGTCACTTTTACTATAGGCCTACATGTGGAGACCACCTATTTTACCTCAATGTTTAGGGCCATTTTCCTGGATACAGATTAAGTCTAAGGACTCAAAAAACTATTTTCGATGGAGATTCGCCATTGAGCTAACTTCTAAGGAATTGTCTGTAGAGCTCTGAGACAGGATTGTGTCGAATCACAGATCTGGGGAAGGGTACCAAAACATTTCTGCAGCATTGAAGGTCCCCAAGAACACAGTGGCCTCCATCATTCTTAAATCAAAGAAGTTTGGAACCACCAAGACTCTTCCTAGAGCTGGCCGCCCGGCCAAACTGAGCAATCGGGGGAGAAGGGCCTTGGTCAGGGAAGTGACCAAGAACCCGATGGTCACTCTGACAGAGCTCCAGAGTTCCTCTGTGGAGATGGGAGAACCTTCCAGAAGGACAACCATCTCTGCAGCACTCCACCAATCAGGCCTTTATGGTAGAGTGGCCAGACTGAAGCCACTCCTCAGTAAAAGGCACATGACAGTCCGCTTGGAGTTTGCCAAAAGGCACCTAAAGACTCTCAGACCATGAGAAACAAGATTGTCTGGTCTGATGAAACCAAAATTGAACTATTTGGCCTGAATGCCAAGCATCACATAGTTCACCATCTCCACTGGGTTAGTTATGTCTAATAGTCCCACTGGGTTCACCATCTCCATTGGGTTAACTAGGTCTAAGAGTCCCACTGGGTTCACCATCTCCACTGGGTTAGTTGGTCTAAGAGTCCCACTGGGTTCACCATCTCCACTGGGTTAGTTGGTCTAATAGTCCCACTGGGTTCACCATCTCCACTGGGTTAGTTGGTCTAATAGTCCCACTGGGTTCACCATCTCCACTGGGTTAACTAGGTCTAAGAGTCCCACTGGGTTCACCATCTCCACTGGGTTAGTTGGTCTAATAGTCCCACTGGGTTCACCATCTCCACTGGGTTAACTAGGTCTAATAGTCCCACTGGGTTCACCATCTCCACTGGGTTAACTAGGTCTAAGAGTCCCACTGGGTTCACCATCTCCACTGGGTTAGTTGGTCTAAGAGTCCCACTGGGTTCACCATCTCCACTGGGTTAACTAGGTCTAAGAGTCCCACTGGGTTAGTTGGTCTAATAGTCCCACTGGGTTCACCATCTCCACTGGGTTAACTAGGTCTAATAGTCCCACTGGGTTCACCATCTCCACTGGGTTAACTAGGTCTGAGAGTTCCACTGGGTTCACCATCTCCACTGGGTTAACTAGGTCTAAGAGTCCCACTGGGTTCACCATCTCCACTGGGTTAACTAGGTCTAAGAGTCCCACTGGGTTCACCATCTCCACTGGGTTAGCTAGGTCTAATAGTCCCACTGGGTTCACCATCTCCACTGGGTTAACTAGGTCTAAGAGTCCCACTGGGTTCACCATCTCCACTGGATTAGTTGGTCTAAGAGTCCCACTGGGTTCACCATCTCCACTGGGTTAGTTGGTCTAAGAGTCCCACTGGGTTCACCATCTCCACTGGGTTAACTAGGTCTAATAGTCCCACTGGGTTCACCATCTCCACTGGGTTAACTTGGTCTAATAGTCCCACTGGGTTCACCATCTCCACTGGGTTAACTAGGTCTAATAGTCCCACTGGGTTCACCATCTCCACTGGGTTAGTTGGTCTAAGAGTCCCACTGGGTTCACCATCTCCACTGGGTTAGTTGGTCTAAGAGTCCCACTGGGTTCACCATCTCCACTGGGTTAACTAGGTCTAATAGTCCCACTGGGTTCACCATCTCCACTGGGTTAGTTGGTCTAAGAGTCCCACTGGGTTCACCATCTCCACTGGGTTAACTAGGTCTAAGAGTCCCACTGGGTTCACCATCTCCACTGGGTTAACTAGGTCTAAGAGTCCCACTGGGTTCACCATCTCCACTGGGTTAGTTGGTCTGAGAGTCCCACTGGGTTCACCATCTCCACTGGGTTAGTTGGTCTAATAGTCCCACTGGGTTCACCATCTCCACTGGGTTAGTTGGTCTAATAGTCCCACTGGGTTCACCATCTCCACTGGGTTAACTAGGTCTAAGAGTCCCACTGGGTTCACCATCTCCACTGGGTTAGTTGGTCTAAGAGTCCCACTGGGTTCACCATCTCCACTGGGTTAGTTGGTCTAATAGTCCCACTGGGTTCACCATCTCCACTGGGTTAACTAGGTCTAAGAGTCCCACTGGGTTCACCATCTCCACTGGGTTAGTTGGTCTGAGAGTCCCACTGGGTTCACCATCTCCACTGGGTTAGTTGGTCTAATAGTCCCACTGGGTTCACCATCTCCACTGGGTTAGTTGGTCTAATAGTCCCACTGGGTTCACCATCTCCACTGGGTTAACTAGGTCTAAGAGTCCCCTTGTGGGAGCAGTAATAGCTAGTAGCCTATTAGCTGTATTAGTAATAGTATTAGCTGTATTAGTAATAGTATTAGCTGTAATAGTATTAGCTGTAATAGTAATAGCTGTATTAGTATTAGTAATAGTATTAGCTGTATTAGTAATAGTATTAGCTGTATTAGTATAGCTGTATTAGTAATAGTATTAGCTGTATTAGTAATAGTATTAGCTGTATTAGTAATAGTATTAGCTGTATTAGTAATAGTATTAGCTGTAATAGTAATAGCTGTATTAGTATTAGTAATAGTATTAGCTGTATTAGTATTAGTAATAGTATTAGCTGTATTAGTAATAGTATTATTGTGTGTTTAAGTTCAGCTAATACTATTACTAATAGTAATTCAGCTCTGACTGGGTGTTTCACACACACACACACAGATTCACACAGATACACACACACACACACACACATTAATATACACACACACATTAATATACACACATACACACACACACACAGATTCATATACACACATACACACACACACACACAGATTCATATACACACATACACACACACACACACAGATTCATATACACACATACACACACACACACAGATTCATATACACACACACACACAGATTCACACAGATACACACACACACACCACACACACACAGATTCATATACACACACACACACACACACACACACAGATTCATATACACACATATACACACACACACACAGATTCATATACACACACACACACACACACAGATTCATATACACACATACACACACACACAGATTCTATACACACACACACACAGATTCACACAGATACAAACACACACAACACACACAGATTCATATCACACACACACACACACACACAGATTCATATACACACATATACACACACACACAGATACACACACACACACATACACACAGATTCATATACACACATATACACACACACACACAGATTCACACAGATACATACACACACACACACACACACATACATACACACACACACACACACACACACACAGATTCATATACATGCATACAGACACAAACTCACACACACACACACACACATACACACACGCTCACAGATTCACACAGATACATACATACATACACACACACACATTTTCATACACACATGCTTGCAGATTCACATACACACACGGTGACAGATTGGCACTGATCTGAGCCAAAGGGGGCCGATGGTGTGTGTGTGGCATCACGTAACTGATGGCCAGGTGGCTGTTCAGCCTCACACAAACACTGTCTGCTACTTTTCATTGTGAGTGTGAGACGTGAGATTTAGCCTTGCATGACCCGTATACTCTGTGGGGAGCAGGGAGCAGCCATAAACCACAGCGAGATGTGGGAAAACACAGCTGGCTGTCTCCAAGGAGGTGTCCCAAATGTCACCCTAGTACTTATAGTGCACTGTGTAGGGGATAGGCTGCCATCTGGGACTAGCCCAAGTCAACCAGGCGCTGCTCTCTCAGTGCTCTGTCTCAGGCCTCCTGTGTAGTTCCCCACCAGGCCTTCCGATATGGCTGCTTGTAACACCCTAAATCTGTTACCAGGCCTTCCGATGTGGCTGCTTGTAACACCCTGAATCTGTTACCAGGCCTTCCGATGTGGCTGCTTGTAACACCCTGAATCTGTTACCAGGCCTTCCGATATGGCTGCTTGTAACACCCTAAATCTGTTACCAGGCCTTCCGATGTGGCTGCTTGTAACACCCTAAATCTGTTACCATGCCTTCCGATATGGCTGCTTGTAACACCCTAAATCTGTTACCATGCCTTCCGATATGGCTGCTTGTAACACCCTAAATCTGTTACCAGGCCTTCCGATATGGCTGCTTGTAACACCCTGAATCTGTTACCAGGCCTTCCGATATGGCTGCTTGTAACACCCTGAATCTGTTACCAGGCCTTCCGATGTGGCTGCTTGTAACACCCTGAATCTGTTACCAGGCCTTCCGATGTGGCTGCTTGTAACACCCTAAATCTGTTACCAGGCCTTCCGATATGGCTGCTTGTAACACCCTGAATCTGTTACCAGGCCTTCCGATGTGGCTGCTTGTAACACCCTGAATCTGTTACCAGGCCTTCCGATACGGCTGTATTGTACCCTACTGGGGGGAGAACACAGAGGGACATGAAAGGTACTAATTATATCTCCAGCCAGATGTGATATTAATGACCTGTTTATGACCTTCTCCTCGTCCTCCTTTTGGGGGTTATGGAATCATTATTACCAAAGCCGTTTAGTTTAATTAAGTCCATGTTTATGGTCCTAGATTTATGAATGGGAAGAAAAAAACCACATGCTTTGTCTTTCTCCTGGTGATGATAAATGTGTGCTTGTTGGCGGAGGACACTTTGTTGTGTGGGTGGAATGTTTGGTATCCAAGGGTAACCCCAACTACTACATGGCTGCATCTTCATAATAGGCCGTGGTTCTGGCAACCAATTCTTCATTTGACCTGTCATATCTGAGCGCTGTGTTTTCCCGTGGTGTGTGTTCGGCTCAGTGTGGCTATAGGCGCTGGTCCCATCATCTAGACAGTAAGCTTTCCATGGAACCATCGCCTCCAGGTAAATCTCCCAAACGGAAGGCTCCAAATAGTTCTGGAATTTAACACGCATACAAATGGCCCTACACACACACACACACATACACACATACACACACACACACACACACAGAACTCCCAATCTATTACAACACCACACACACACACACACACACACCACACACACACACACACACAAACCCATCACACCACACACACAGACTCCCAATCTATCACCCACACCACCACACACACGAACTCCCAATCTATCACACACACACACACGACTCCAACTACACCACACACCACACACCAACTCCCAATCTATCACACACACCACACACACAGACTCCAATCTATCACACACACACACACACACACACCACACACAACAGCAAACCCCCAATCTATCACACACACACACACCACACACAGAACTCCCAATCTATCACCACACACACCACACACACACAGAACTCCAATCACACACACAACAAACACAACTCCCAATCTATCACAACACACACCCCACACACACACACACAGAACTCCCAATCTATACACACCACACACACCACACACACAACAGAACTCCCAATCTATCACACACACACACACACACACACACAAACTCCCAATCTATCACACACACCACACACGACACACAGAACTCCCAATCTACACACACAACACACACACACACACACACAAACTCCCAATCATCACACACACACCACACACACACAGAACTCCCAATCTATCACACACACCACCAACCACAGAACCAATTCAACAGACACACAACACACACACACACACAGAACTCATCTACAACACACACACACACACAGACCACAACACACACACACACACACACAGAACTCCATCTATCACAACAACACACACAACACAAACCACAACACACACACACACACACAGAACCACACACACACACACACACCACACACACCCAATCCACACACACACACAAAAAAGAACTCCCAATCTCACACCCACACCCCCACACACCACACACACAGAACTCCCCAATCTATCACACACCACACACACCACACACACCACACCCACAACACACAACACACCACAGAACTCCCACTAACCACCACACACACCACAGAACCCATCATCCACACACACACACACCACACGAACTCCCAATCTATCACACACACACACACACACACACACAGAACTCCCAATCTATCACACACACACACACCACACACACACACACCACAAACCACCACACACACACACCACACACACACACACCAACACACCAACACACAGAACTCCCAATCTATCACACACCCCCACCACAAACCCACACCACACACACACACACACACAGAACTCCCAATCTATCACACACACACAACACACACACACACAGAACTCCCAATCTATCACACACACACACACACACCACCCCACAACACACACACACACACACACAGAACTCCCAATCTATCACACACACACACACACACAGAACTCCCAATCTATCACACACACGCACACACAGAACTCCCAATCTATCACACACACACACACACACACACACACACACACACACACACACACACACACACACACACACAGAACTCCCAATCTATCACACACACACACACACACACACAGAACTCCCAATCTATCACACACACACACACACACACACAGAACTCCCAATCTATCACACACACCACACACACACACCACATACAGAACTGTGTTACAGTTTGAGAAGCCCTTTGTTGCTCTGAGATAAAGATCTATTTACCTGACAAATAAGTCATTTCCCAGAAAGGTGCCAATAATATATGTTTCATTCTTAATACTTAGGTTCTGCAATACTGAAACATGTTGGGTTATGCAAAGAATATGTAGCTTGTGTAACGCAAAAACATTTCCTAATACAATAGCTGTAGTCTGTAGTCATTTCCCATCAGTCTGACTGAGCATGTGACTA